GTGATGGTTCCAACATTGCCCCAGTTATCTGTGTACCCTTCTGAACTTTCTTCTCTTTTTCGTGTATTTTTGAATGTTTCATTGATGCTCTTTTTTCCTTTTTTTCTTTTTTATGGTATAACTATCCATTCCCCTGTTCTCCCCTGCCCAGCTCTCCAAAATAAAAGTCCTCTCTCATAACAAATACACACAGTCAACAAACCTAATCCATGCTTCGTCTCTCTCTGAAAGATTTATATCTCATTCTATCAGCCAAAAAAAGCATGTATTAAGTGCTATGTACCAGACACTGTGCTAAGCACTGGGGATACAAAGAAAGGCAAAAACGCAGTCCCTAGCTGAAAAAGCTCTTATTCTAATGGGGGATACAACACACAAATAATTATTTATGTTCAAGATATTCTCTGTGTAGTGAGAAAGTAATTTCAGAGGTAAGGCATTAAGTTGGGGAGGGGATGAGGAGAATGGGGGTGGGAAGAAAAAGGGCCAGGAAAGGCTTCCTGCAGAAAGTGGGATTTAAGCTGAATCTTGAAGGAATCCAGGTTGCTGGCTTAAGGTAGGGGGAAAGCATGGAGGTGGGGGATGATGTCTTATGTGGGAGGAAGAACAATTAGGCCAGTGTGCCTAATTATAGATTAAACAGTAGATAGAAGTGAGTAAAGTGTAAGAAGACTGGAAAGAGGAAGGGGCCATGTTTTAAAGGGTTTTAAATGTCAGAAACATTTTGTATTTGATTCTGGCAGTAATAAGGAGCCAGTGGAATTTATTGAGTGAAAGGGTGACATGGTAAGACCTGTGCTACAGGAAATTTACTTTGGCAGTTGAGTGAAGAATAGACTAAGGGTAAAGAGATACTTAAGGCAGTAACCAACCAGCAGGCTATTGTGGTGGTCCAGGCATGAGGTCATGAGGGCCTGTACCAGAGTGACAGCATGTGAGTGAAAAGATAGGGATATTCCTGGGCCATGTTGAGAAGGTAGAAACAACAAGACTTGACAACAAATATGTTGAAAGAGAGGAAGGAGTCAAGGATGAAACTTGTGTCACAAGCCTAGATGACGGGAAGGAGGATGGTGCTTTTTGACAGTGATAGGGAAATTTGGAATGGGAGGACTTGGGCAGAAAGATTATGAGTTGTGTTTTGAACATATTGAGTTTCAATTGTCTATGGGACATCCAGTTTAAAATTTCCAGAAGGCAATTGGTAAATCAAGAGTAGAGCTCAAGAGGAAAATGAGTTCTGGATACAAAGATCTGGGAATCATCTGTATAGAGATGATAATTGAACCCATGGGAGCTAATGCAATTATCAAACAAGATAGTGTAGAGGGAAAAGAGCGCCCAGGACAGAACTTTGGGGGATGCTGACAAGTTAGTGAGAATGGCAGGATTAAGATTCAGCAGAGATGAAGAAGGAACATTTGGGCAGGTAGGAGAAGCAGGAGAGGAGAAACCTTGAAGAGGAGAGAGTATCCCAGTAGAGAGAGTGATGGACAGTGTCAAAGGTGTAAGATTTACATTTGACAATTAAATTATTGGTAACTTTAGAGAGAGAAGCTTCAGTTGAATAAGACTACAGAGAGTTTAGAAGCAAGTGAGAGCAGAAAAAGTGAAGACATTCAATGTAGATGTCTGTCTCAAGATGGTTAGCGGTGAAAGCAAGGAGAGACAACAGTGGCAAGTGGGTTAGGTAGGCATTGTTTAAGAATAGAGAGACATGGTTGTTTTTAGGAAGCAAGGAGGCATGCAGTAGCTGAGGGGAGACTGAAGATGAAAGAGAGGGCAAGAGGGAGGAGGGAGACAGAGACAAAGACAGAGAGAGGAGAGCAGTCTCCTAAGGGAGATGTGAGGGGTTGGGATCAGGGGTATATGTCAAAAGGTGCGCCTTCCCAAGGAGGGCCATCTCTTGAGGTGAAAGAGGAGAACGTAGAGAAATAGATTTGAGTGATATGAGGTGAGAAAGAGAGAAGAGAGAGCTTTCAGAGAATGGCCTTAATTTTTAAGTGAAGTATTTGTTGAGGTCCTTAGCTGAGAGAGTGGGAGAAGGAGGTCCTTTAAGAGTCATAAGGAGAAATGTAAAGGGTTAGTATCACTGTTCTGGTGAGTGGAGTAGTGAATTGATTAGTGAACATAAAAGGATTGCCTTGCTGCACTGAGGAGCCAGTTAGGATTAAATAACAACAGTGGTAGACTAAAGGGGAAGGTGTTTGGATGAAGAGGGGCGTGTGGAGAGTTGAACTGATTTACCAGGTAATCAAAATACGGACAGGAGGAGAGTGTACCTAGTACAAGGCGATGGTCTGCAGAAGAACCTGAGATGAAGAGGCTATAGAAGAGATTGTGAGGACAAATTACAGATACAGAGTAAGATGGAATGATAAGAGGACTTTCTGTGCCATTCATCCATCACCTCTTTACCAGCACTTAGAATAGTGCTTGGCACACAGTTGGTGCTTAATAAATGCAAGTTATTTAATATTTAGCAAATACTAGTTAAAATATGGGTATGGCTTGTTGCATGTTGTCTCTATTAAATTGTGAGCTCCTTGAGGGCTGGTCCTGTCTTTTGACTTTTGTATCCCAAGTGTGTAGCAAAGTACCTGGCAGTGGTAGGTGCTTAATAAATGTTTATTGATTGATTGACTAATTACCTGAGCCTGACTTGACTTCCAAGGGATACGAAACACAATTCAGCTCCTTGTCTTAATACAGCTTAGTAGTATTTGGCATTGGGCAAGACTCTGAATGTTGTCCAAGAAAATGTACCATGGAAATACTAGAAACACCTTGTAACAATTTCACCCATAACATGGACCCTCAACATGAACCACCAAAGATTCCATCTCACTAAAGCACTAGTGTGTTATCATCCTGGGATTGGAGCCGTAACACTATCCTAAACACTGAACTACTGGAATGTCACAGCTAAAATGCCAAAACAATGCATGGGCTAATAGTGCTGGCCTTTTGGAATTATTCATGTTTAGGCTGGCAAAGGCTATGCAATAAAAACCTAACTAGTTAACTAAAGCCTGGGTAAGAAATTTCCACAAACAGTTCAATATGTAGAAGTATCTGTGTAAGTCAGAAAGGGCTATTCACAATATTTTCTCCTATTTCTCATCTTAAGAAGCAGTCCAATATGTGTGATATGCTGATATCATGTGGTGATGTCATTTAGACTATACTGCTATCAGATGGTGATGTCATCTGAGGCTATACCATCATTAGTAGAACGTTCTTTGAGTTCATTAATTCATTTCATTAACAAACAACAAATGTGAAGCATAATTTATTGCAAAGCATGATACTATATGTTGGGGTATGGTATAGTGAACCAAGTAAGACCAGGTCACCACCAAAATTGACCCACAGGCAAATCACTTGACCTATCGGATCCTCAGTTTTTCCACATCTACAATAGGAATAATAGAATCAAAATCTAAAACTGCAAAAGACACTAGAAGTAAATGTACTCTTATGCTAAGCAGTGTTAAGCATCCCCTATGTATCAGGTGCTGGGGATATAAAGACTACCACCTCATTTTACAAATGTCAGAATATGCCTCCTGAGGTTAAGTGATATATATGTCCAGTGTCACACAGGGCTTAGTACCTAGGTCTTCTGACCCCAGAGCCAGGGCTGCTTTCACAATAACATACTTTCTCCACATGCATAATGATGACAGCTGACATATATCATTTTATATCTACATATCATTTATTATTTATCAATATCATGTTAATATTTTATATATAGTGTTACCATTTCAAAGTGTTACACATACATGATATGAACATTGTTTGTACAACCTATTTTATGGAGTTGTTTTGAGGGAAATTATTTCATATGCTTCAAAGTGTTGTTAAATGTGAATTATTATTAATATAAAATATAGTCCTTGACCATCATGAAATTTATAGACTAGCTGAGGGTCAGATAAAAACATTGATAACTACATGCATAATATTACATGGTGAATTTAGAGCAGCATAAAACACATCGTTCTACATGAATTCTCAGAGGTGATTTCCTAACTGTGTTTATGGACCCATACTCCTAAGCATCCCCTGTAACATTGTCTGAGGAATGAAGAAAGCAGTCTGTGACTTTTCTCCATACCCTCTGCTTTGAAGCCATCAAAAAGAGATTGTACAGCACTGAGAGTAGCGCTTCTCCTTCCTACCCCCTACCCCCACCCCAGAGTTCTGATTTCATCTTTTCCTTATCTTTATGTAGCACAACGGGTCAATATGTGTAAGTGAAAACAGACCAACTTGGCACTGCAGGATCATTGACTTGCTCCTGGATGGATTCCCTTCCATTATTTCAGTTTTCATTAAAACTTTGTGATGTGAAAAGGGAGCCAGACTCTCCAGCTTCACCATAAGTTCATGCTATTTTGAATCACTGGCTTCTTCGACACCGGCATTGGAATATGAAACATTTGGGGATGGCAGAAGATTAACTAAAGATGCAAAACACACATTCATAACCCATATAAGACTAACCCAACCAATGTTATGACCAAGTCTGAATTACCACAAGAATCATGAGACCATCCTGTAGTCATTCTTAGACTGATTGTCCATTTATATCATTTTCAGTGTGTAATTCAATGCCCTTCTGTAACATCATTTTGCCAAATCTTGTGTTTGACAGAACAAATTAAAATTAACATGTACTAATTAATAAATAAAGCTGTGCTTTGAATGAGGGAGGTGTTATGCAACTATTATTAAATGTCATAATGAAATTGTAAAGCCTTATTTTTAATACTCTTTACTTTTTGTCCATTTGGAATTAGTTTGTGGCATGCATTTGACATTGCAAAAGGTCGCTTTTTTTCTTCTAAAGACTAGTTATAGATGAAGATAGAATGCTTTTATGCTGAACTATTTATTATGTATCAGCTATCTGTGAGACTATGGGGGATTTTGTTTGTAGGGGCTTTGTGCATGTGAGTGCTAAATTTCTGTGTGTTTCCTCTGTTTTATAGGCTGGAAAAAGAAAGCATTCAGCAGAGCTTTAGCAGCAACGCAAAGGCCCAAGCCCTTCAGGCCCAGCAAAGAGAGCAGGAGCTGACACAGAAGATGGAGCAAATGGAAGCCCAGCATGAGAAAGCTGGTAGGTGGTCGGGAAGGATTAGAGCCTGGGCACTCGCTCACAAGCTAGGCCCACGCCTCACTGTGAAATGACATCAGGAACACCTGTAACCTTTGGCTGGCCGAAGGGAGCAGATGCTAACGACACCGGAGATTCCGAATTACATATTAGTTAGCGTTTAAAAGAGAAAATGGAAAGTATTGCCCACTGTCTGTTGATTTCAGAGTGCTGCTCTCACATCTGTTGCACCATCTGGATTATGAGTTTATTTACCTGTGTTCAAGAAACGTAAAGCTGAGAGAGACCACAACAAAGTAGAAAAACAAAGGGCTTGTTTTTGGCTGGATTTTCAGGCACACATGTTATATAAAGAAAATAGCATCAGAAGCTCTGCGGGAAATGCTCTGAGCTTACAGTTAAAGTCTCCTGAATAGCATTGAACAGTTCCCACAGTACACACATTATAGCTACTCTAAAAGCCTAATGAGTTTGCCTCAGCATCCAAACTGGAGAAAAGCTTTAGCCATTAATCGGTTCTTAATTCACTGTCGCAGCTGGATGTAATTCAGTGGCTCCAAATTGATATGTTCCTTTATTTAATCTTTGCAGCCTCGAACATTTTTAGCGTTTGTATGATTCCCTTCCCCCTCCCCAATCTAGAAAGGATGTTTAATCCTTTGCATTCTTCAAGTTATTGCAACTGATGTTAAAATTCACTAATACAAGGCATTGGCCACAGCTGGCAGCTTGGCTAAACACTGACGTCTTTCATCACATTGGCTCTGTTCTGCCGACTCAGTTGGCCAGTAACTCTTTACCTTTAATTTGAAAGTAAAATGCACTTTGAAACTATGCAGTTTGATTTGTTCAGTCAGAGCTTTCTTTAGTCCCTTTCAGTGTTGTGCTGGTTATGTTCATGGACAGTGTTAGTCAAAACAAGACAGTATTAGTTGTTAGAATTTCATGCCATCGATTCTGTAAGCTGATTGTACAATTAACAGAGAAGAAGCTTCATTAGTCATTTCTTTTCCAGAAATTTTATTGTTCCGTTTTAGTATACTGAGATAGTTTGTTTTGTGTACCATATACCGCTGTCATTTACTAGTTTTCTTATACTTAAAGCTTATATATATTTTATTATATGCTTCATATAGAATGTTTGGTAATTATCATAATTCATGTACATATAGGTTAATATTACCTGTCTTTCATTTCCTGGGCAAATAATTACCTAAAGGAGGTTAATTAAGTAACTTACATCCATATAAAGTTTCCATCTATGCCATTATTGACCTCTGTAGTTACCTCTTCAAATGAAAAGAAAAAAATAGTATTTTCTTATACTGGCCTCTGGCCAACAACAATAAATTCTGACCAGACTTAACCTAATAGGTATTTTGCCACCAACATGAGAGAGAGAGAGAGAAAATTATGGGATAAATTATTCCAGGCTGCCGCTTCTACCAGAGGCCTGGTGATTACAGAGTTCTAGGCAGAGCCAGTGAAGGCTTGATCAGGGTAATTTACCATCTTTAACACCTCTTTGAACACATTTCTTTTTACAGGTCATTTTCATTTCTTCAACTGCTATGACTAAGTTTTTGAAGTAGCTTCCAAGGGAAAAAATGCTATGGGAGGGTCAGGGGAAGAGAAGGGAAAGCAAATGCTTTCCTCTTCAAAGTTGAGAACCTGTGAGCATAAATGGTGCATGAAGTAACTGCATGACACCAAAGAATTATCCAATAAGTTTCATTTACCTCATTCTGTATTTGTGAACAACTGACTGGTGAACACCTTGAATTTATAGTCAAATAATCATTGTAATTATCTAGCATTAGCCTATTCATCCATAGCTCTCTAATGGTGTTTTAAAATGTATTTTTAAAAATTTGGTCAGCACGTATATGACTGAGGCCTTGTTAGTTGTGTGATGTTTGCAAAACTGAATACCTCAGGAAATTTAAGGAAAGTAGAAAATGCCCTTTGACCTAAGGGTCACTGAAAATAGCCTATGGAAAACAAGGCTGCAGTCTCAGTCTCTATCTTTTTATGTGTGGCAACATTGCAGGGCTTCAATTATAATCATCTTAATCGCTTGGGGGGATATTATTATTTCTAGAAAGTGAACAATTTTCATTGCTGAGCTCCCAGAATACATTTATGGCAAAGCTGAAGGAAGAATGCTGTATGTTAGCCCAGAAATTGGAAGAAATTACAGACAAAAACAGGTAGGCCAAAACAGGTCACATAATACTTTATCTGTGAGATTTCTGTTATTTGTCTTCTGAAAAATAGAACAAGAATTTTACTCACCCTTTATATAATTAGGTGGTACTGTCTCTTGTAGATGCTAATATTCTTTTTAATAGTATTCTCTTTTTGAATGTTTTTTTTATTGTTGTACCTGAATTGCTGTTTTTGCACATATGCACATTTGTGTATATGTATATTACCAATGTGTGCATCCTAAAACAAATACAAGAAATGAGTAATTACAGAAAACAGAATTTCAGAAGAAAAATTATTTAGTAAAATATACCAATGCACAAAGGAGTCAGTTATTTCATCAATGTGTGGGGGCTCTTGGTGTGGAAACTCTCTCAACTGAGATAGATGCAAATCTTAGTAGATTAAAATAATGATAATTATAGCTGGCATATACATAGTACTTTAAGGTTTGTAAAGTACTTTATGTACATAAATTCATTTGGTCTTCACAATAACCTTGTAGGGGTTCATAATAACCCTGTTATCCTAGGGTATTGTTGCCTGAAACATGGAGAAGTCAAGTAAGTGACTTGCCTAGGGTCAAACGTCTAGTTAAAAGATGGATTTTAATCTAAGTCTTCCTGATTCTATTTACTGCTTCTCCGTTTGCAAAGTATTCTTATAGAAACACAGTAAATATCTTACATTAAAATAGAACAATTTTATGCTGAAATTATTAGCACTATTTCCAGTGAACAAATAAGAAGTAACTTTCAGTCATATAATATTTCCAAGATTTGTAGGTGTTTCTCTCAGTAGAAAGGGGACATTTCAGAAACAAAATCATTTCTGAAATGTGCTTTATTATGGAAGATGCAACCAGAAGAAGTGCCAATGCTCTTTTGTAGCTTTTTATTAATTTGGACCTTTATGTGAATTGGTTTTCATGGTTTTATAGCCAGCCATATGTTCCCAGAGAATATTTATTTTTCCTTGGTTAGATTAGGCACTATAATCAATCATTCAACAAGTATTTATTAAGCACCTACTATATAAGTCCTAGTACATTAGTTAATTAAATTGAAAGAATTAATGCAGCTCTGAAGGTGCCTGAGAAGAAACTGGGCTACCTGTCCTAAGCCTAATACTAGGGAGCTGTTAGACCATGTCAAGTCAATGAGCCTCCCTCTCATCTACAAAACAAGGGGTTTGGAATAGGTAATTCCTAAAATTCCTCCTAGCTGTGATATTTTCTAATTTGTATTAAATGTAATTTGAATACATAAAGAATTTCATGGATTGCACAAAAAAATCATTGAGCATTATAAAAGGGAAAGTCAAAATAAATGTCATATCACATAATGATCTGATAAAATAGTGCAGGTAGCTCTAGGGCTCTGCATCTCTCCCATTTTTTTTCAGAACTTTTTTTCTCCCAGCTTAATCAAAACACCATAACAAATAAACCAATGTTTTCATGTATCCATATTGAAAAAGAAAATTCTTGGAGAAACAAAACATTGCTCCTCACTGGGCAATTTTTCTTGAATCTCTGACATCAACACACCAAACGAGTAAATGGCATCTCTCCTGGGCATCTGCAAGATCCATGAGTACCAAAGGCCTTTCTTTTTCCTCTTACAGGGTCTGCATATGATCATAGTCCCTTATGTGTAATCAGAAAATTCAGTGATTGGTTTTGACCAACTAGAAAAGCATGTGACCCTCAAACTGATTTCGAAGGAAACTCATGGCGCAAGGAACTCTGGGACTGTCATACTGTCACCGGGCATGGACCATTGAAGCAACATGTTAATTAGGGGGTGATGGAGAACCAGCAATGAAGAGCCTTGCTTCTTGTTGTTGTTCAGTCATTCAGTTGTGTCCAACTCTTGTGACCCCATGGGCCATAGCATGTATGGCCCTTCTATGCTCCACTATCTCTCGAAATCTGAAGATACTTGCCCCATCTTAATAAGTTAATTAAATGTCTTGGTTTTTGGAGGGGAAAGGCATAAGGTGGCTTAATGCCTTGACCTCTAGTTATTATGATGTGGCAGGGTCAGTAGGAAGCAATTTGTTTCTCCATGAAACATTATCATAAGCATCTCTAGTTGACTTTTTTTCATTGGTTGGTGACCTTGATTTACTTTCATTGCTACATGATAAAAGCATCTACCAAGACATATGTTACATGTAATTAAAAGTTTTATTATTGTTTAGAATTTGTATCATGCTTTGGACTTTCAGCTCACTATGTAACAGTAAACTAATTATCTTAACTTGCCTTTACTACCACCCCTACTGTAATGAGGCATAATGAGACTGATATGCCTACTTAAAATTGTGATACTGAACTTACTTCATTTGCTATTCCTATCAAAAGAAGTCAATGAAATAACACAATAGAAAACAAAAGTTCTGGGGCAGCTAGGTGGCTCAGTGGATAGAGCAGCAGCCCTGGAGTCAGGAGGAACTGAGTTCAAATCCGGCCTCAGACACATAATACTTCCTAGCTGTGTGACTCTGGGCAAGTCACTTAACCCCAACTGCTTCACTTAAAAAGAGAGAGAGACAGAGAGAGAGAGAGAGAGAGAGAGAGAGAGAGAGAGAGAGAGAGAGAGAGAGAGAGAGAGAGAGAGAGAGAGAGAGAGAGAGAGAGAGAGAGAAAAGAAAAAAGAAAGAAAACAAAACAAAACAAAATTTCTGACCAAAGTAATGGTAGTAGAATTCCAAGGAAAAATGACATATATTATCAGGACCTTATGGGGAGGCAGGTTGGATATACATGGGTTTCACAAAGATCCAGAGTACAACCAGGTGAAACTCTTTCCAGGTCACCAGATATTCTCTTAATTCTTAATATGTCTCTTCTACCTCTTTCCTTTTCCAGTCTGTTCATTTAAAACCTTGTGCCTTTCCATTCCCCTGGCCTCAGATTTCCCATGGTCTTGATCTTGACTCTATAGTAGTAGCAATAAAAATAATAGCTAACGTTTACATAGCATTTATTGTGTGTCAGACACTGTGCTAAGCACATTATAATTATTATCTCATATGATCCTCACAACAACCATGGGAGGTAAATGCTGTTTTTATTCCCATTTTACAGATGAGGAGACTGTGGCAACCGGGTTAAGTTACTTGCCCAGGATCACACAGCTTAATAAGTGTCTGAGGCTGGATTTGAACTCAGGTTTTCCTGACTCCACACCCGGGGCTTTATCTACTGCACTACCCAGCTGCCCCAGTAACCTAGCTGTATTTTTGATGGTGTGTCCTCTGTGTTGGCTCTACTTCACTCCAGATTCTGATGTCTGCATTTCTGATCTTAATTCCTTCTTCCTACTCTTTGTAATAGTTTTGATGATTTTGTAGAAACAAAGTTTCATCCTAATTGTGGTTCATCTAGCCATGGAGGCTCAAATCTCTTACCCTGACAACTATGAAAGTACAACAAAATCTTGTTTTAAAACTATTTTGCCATGACTTTGAAAGTGAACTTTTGATTGATTTAAGCAACAATTAATTTAACTGCTAAGGTATACTGTGTATAATGCAGAGTATGATTAGTAATATATATTACTATATGTAGTAACATATATTACTACATATTTATATCATATATATATATATATATATATATATATATATATATATATACACACATATACATGTATATACCAGATCTGATGGTCTTTTCTTAGTGATCACCTTTCTTGACTTCTCTATAGCTTTTGCCACTGATGATTACCCTCACCTCCCTACCTCAGATCTGACCCCACTCCAATCCATCCTCCACAAAGCTGCCAAACTGACTTTCCTGAAGTATGGATCTTATCATGGCACTCTCCTACTCATCAGATTTCATTAATTCTCTATTATCTCTGGGATTAAACATAAAAAGACAACTTTGAGGGGCCCCTAAAATAATAATAGCTAGCATTTATATAGCATTGTAAGTCTTGCAAAGTGTTATACACATATTATCTCATTTGATCTTCACGACAAACCTGGGAGGTAGCTGCTATCATTATTCCCATTTTACAGATGAGAAAACTAAGGCAGACAGTAGTTAAGTGACTTGCCCAGGATCACACAGCTAGTAAGTAATCTGAGGAGAGATCTGAATTAACTCCAAGTTCAACCCTGTACTCTGCCACCCAAGCTGCCTCACATTTTACATCACAAAATATACATTTTCCATGTTCCTATTTACTTGAGTCAGTCTTTTCCCCTCTAAGGAAATTCAGCATGAACTTGGAGTCAGTGATCATAGGATCATGGCTTTAGATTTGGAAGGGGTCATCTTGTCCCACTCCCTTGTTTTACAGATGAGAAAACTGATGCTCAGAGGTCTGAAAGCTAGTAAGTGGGGGAGGTGGAATTAAAACCTAGGTCCTCGGAATCCACATGCTGCAATCTTTCTGTTGCTCCATGTTGCAGTATGACATTTGCATACCTGAGTTCCAAATTCCAGTTATAACATTTAATTTTGTGACCCTGATTAATTCAGTTAACTTCTCTGCGTTGCGATGTTCCTGTTCTATAGCGTCGTAGAATGTAAGAGCTGGAAGGAGCCTCAGAGGTCCTGTAGTATAACCTGTAAAAGGGGAACTAATGCCCACACTACTTGCTTTACAGAAGATTTGTGTGAGAATCAAATGCAGGTTAACGTATGAGAAGAGTTACGTAAAACCTTAAAATGCTGTTGAAATGTGAGCCGTTGTTATTTTCATCCTGTCCTCTATCATCTTCTGTAGTAAAGAAAGCACGAATTCCAAATACCAAATTCCACACAAATTAAATGGCAGCAGAAGAGAGAAATAAAGAGAATGTGGTTTTGTTTTATTTTGTTTTTAGGCTCTCCACCTGATTCCTTTTAGGCCTGTGGATATTATGTCCATTTACATGGCATTTATGCTTTGCAGAAAATGGCCTCCATTCTGCTTTTAGGTTCCTTAGGAGAAATGTGTGAAGATTGAAATAGTCAGCTTTGTATCAAAAGGCCCAAGATTAT